CTGAGAAGAGTGGGGTCTAAACCATAAGTGGGGATCTCTAGCCTACAACACCAGAGCCCAAAAGATACACAGATAACAACCAGAGGTGAAAAGTGGCAGGGTTGCTCTCTGCCAGAGACAGGCGGCTGGATATACAAAAAGCCTTTTAAAGGGTCAACACATACATTTTTATTTGTAGCCACTTACCCTGGTCTCTGGAAAAGATGGGGGCAGAGTGGGCTAGAGACGACTGAGGAGAAACTGGGGAAGGAGGCTTTGGGGAGAGAGCTGAGAAAGTGGCCAGCGGGGTCCCGGTGCTGACTCATCCCCCATATGACAGCAGCCATCTTGCTCATGTAGACCACTCCCCTGAGCAGCAGCAGTGTGACAGGACACAATAACCACGCCCCCAGGAAAGAATATGCCCAAGCCCAGTGGTGCTGAAGCCTGACTGCTAAGAACAGAGTGGCAGCCGCAGATAGTAGATCCCTGGCTAAACAGGGCGCAGAGTGGTCTAGAGACACTTGAGGAGAAGTTCGGCAAGGAGGCTTTGTGGAGATGACTGAGAAAGCAGCCAGAGGGATCCCAGTGCAGACTAATCCCCCATATGGCACCAGCCATCTTGCTCAGGCAGACCATTCCCCTGAGCCACAGCAGCATGAGAGAACTCAATAACCCCAACCCCAGGAGTGACTCTGCTCCACCCTGTGGTGTCTAGGCCTGACTGTTGAGTGAAGAGTAACTAGATTAACAACTGAAGGAGACAGCCACAAACAGTAGCTTCCTGGAAGTCTCAAACAGTCTGCCTAAGGTCAGATGGGGTCAACATCTGACATCATCAGGGGCAGATCCAGAAAGAAAAAACAGCAGCCTCCTATCATACAAGTTCACACCACAGTCAGGAAATCAAGACAGATCAATTTAAGATGCAGAAGCAAAAAAGAGGTGTTTCACAAATAATGGGAAGACAAAGAGACACCCCCAATCAAAGGGAAAGGAGGAATTCCCAGAAAGAGATGTAAATGAAATAGAGGCAAGTAAACTTAGATATTGAGTTCAAAACAATGGTTCTTAGGAAACTCAATGAGCTCAGTGAGCTAAGAGAGAATTACAAAAGACTGCAGGAAAACTATGAGGAACTTACAGCAAACCATATCAGCATGAAAAAGGACATAGAAACTATCAGTAAGAGACAAGGGGAAATGAAGAATACAATTTCTGAATTGAAGAACACAGTAGAAGGAATCAAAAGCAGGCTAGGTGAAGCAGAGGATCTCATCAGCGAGCTGGAAGACAAGGTAGAAAAAAGCTCCCAGAAACAGCAAGAAAATGAAAAAAGACTAAAAAAAAAATGAAGAGGTATTTAGGGAAATGCAGGGCAACCTGAAACATGATAATATCCATATAATAAGGACACCAGAAGGACAAGACGAGGAACGGACAGAGAACCTGTTTGAAAAAGTGATGATGGAAAACTTCCCTAATTGGAGGAGAGAAAAAGTCACACAAATCCAGGAAGCACAGAGGGTTCCATTCAAGAGGAACCCAATGAGGCCCACTCCAAGATGCATCATAATTAAAATAGCAAATATCAGACAAACAGAGAATCCTAAAGTAAGCAAGGGAAAAGAGGTAGTAACATATAAGGGAGCCCCGGTACAACTAGCATCTGACTTCTCAACAGAAACACCACAAGCCAAAAGGGAATGGCAAGAAATATTCCAAGTCATGAAAAGCAAAGGCCTGCAATCAAGACTGCTCTACTCGGCAAGGCTCTCAATTAAAATGGAAGGCAAAATGAGTTTCATAGACAAAAGTTAAAAGAATACATCTCCACCAAACCAGCATTGCAAGATATGCTAAAGGAACTGCTTTAAGAAGATGAACAAAAAGAGTCTATGAATGCCCAGTTCCTTTCAGTCACCAATACTTGAAATTGCCAATTTTTTAATACTTATTAATCTGATTGTGACAATGATGTTATTTTGTTACTTTATTATTTGTTGAAACTAAACCTGTTTTTGTATATTTTTTGCTAATTTCTATTATTTTTAAAAAGCTTTAAATGACTTTTTGGTGTTCTTTATCCATTTTTTGATTAAATGTTTGTAGAATTTTTCCCCTAAAAAGAAAAACTATTAACCCTGTTATAGATGTGTTGCAAATACTTTCCTATTCTAGTACTTGTCCTTTAACATATTATATATAATATAAACATTTTAACATTTTATAATATATATAACTGTATAATATACAATAATAACATTTTATTATATATATATAACTGTATAGTCTTAAATGTTTAATACAGTCATACTGTCAATATTTTACTTTACAGCTTCTAGGTTTGAAGATTTTACTTCAGGGTAAGAAAAAGACTATTCTGTATTTTCTCCTATAACTCCTTAGATTTTACATATTGATTTTTAACTCACCTGAATATTTCTTGTATAATGTGTGAAATAGGGCTCTATTTGTTTTATCTCAAGTAATAGTGGTCTATGCACCTTATGTGTTGAATAAGCCTTATTTTCCCCATTGATTTGAAATATCAATTTAATCATATATTACATTGTTAGACATATATATATATATATATTTGTTTCTAGAGTGCTCATTTTATTTCATTGATCTACTTGATTATTTCTGTGCTGGTGTCATGTTAATTGCTAAGACTTTATAGTAGATTTAAATTTTTTAATAATTTATAATGGATTTTGACATTTAAAAAATAAATAAATAAAATCAATCTGCATTTAAAAGAAAGAAAGAAGGAACTCCTAGCTTTTGTGACAACATGGATGGAACTGGAGAATATTATGCTAAGTGAAAGAAGCCAGTTGATGAATGACAAATACCATATGATTTCACCTGTAAGTGGAATCTAATCAACAAAATAAACTAACGAACAAACTGAACCACAGGCAAGGAAACATGGATCAGACTGAAAGTGACCAGAGGAGATGGGGAAGGAGGACAATGGTGGAAAGAAGGAGAATGGACTAGACAAAGAACATATATAAATGACCCATGGACATGGACAACAGAGTGGGGATTGACTGTGGGTACAGGGGACTGGGTGGGATGGGTGTAGAAAGGCAAAGGGGGAAAAATTGAGACAACTCTAATAGAATAAATATGATTTAAAGATTAAAAAAATAAAAAATAAAAATAAATTTTAATCTTATAGAGTTCCATTGTAAGGTGTCACCCTACTGACACAACTGGATTTGTTTCCTTTTTGTTAGTAAGTGTGGACGGTCAGTCAGAGGGGAGTTGACGTTAGAGGCAGGAAGACTGGAAAAAGGTTACTGCATTAAAATTAGGGTGAGCCATGAGGGTCTAAATCAGGACAGCAGCTACAGAAATGGAGAGGTAGGCACAAATACAGGAGAAACTGAAAAGGCAAAGTCGATGGGACTTGCTGAATAATTACATATGGAGCACAAAGGGAAAAGAGAATGTAAAGCAAATGCACAATATTTTGGTTCTCTGCTTCTTCCTATGAATGAAAGGATCATAATATTTATGAGTTGTAAATGTGTTTATAATAAATAATTAAAATATTTAAAAATATCACAATCCTTCTGGAGGTAAGGGTATTACATAATGTTAAATGCATGATACTTAGTGATGTTAAGACTTGTATTTTCTGCCATTCCTTAAATCCAGTCACAAGCATAAAGAAATAGAGTGAAGCTTCACAGTGTATAATCTCATTACTGTTATTTGTACCTTTTCTTTGTGCATATGATTACTAGATGAGGAAGAAAATGAGACACAGAAATGAAAAATATAGACTGGAAAGTCTGCCTTATGCCAGTTAAGCTTCCTCTTTTATTGTTTAAAAATCACTAGGCAAAACAGTTCATCCTTCAGGGACGAAGGCACATATCACAGATACAAAACAGTTTGGTGTAAATATAATTAATACTTTTTTTAGAATTCTGAGATATTTATCATCACATGTGCCATCAATGGGTTGACTTTTTTAGTAAAATGCACAGTAAGAACTATGAGTAAGTATTAAGCAGTTAAGCCGCACACCCTTCCCACTCACTGACTGGCAATAGTGTGTGGGGCTGCTAGCTTTATAGAGTAATTTCTTCTGGCTTTCAACATTTTATAAGTAAACAAAAATAAATATTGAAAAAATAAAAGGGAAAGAAGATGCACCATTCAACGTTTGGAAATGCTGGTTTAAACACAGCTAATGCAGGTCCTTTACTGTTAAGATTTTTTTAGAGTCTTTACTACGCTAATGAAGAGTTGTGAATTACCAAGAGGGAGACCCAGGGTATTGTATTTTCAGAGGTGCACACTTTAGATGTATCTAGCAGGCATTATAAGGCTGGGACAAAACAATGAGAAGGTAAGTCAATAGCGCAGAACATGGATGTTCATTTTATTCATTTGTTTCTCATGTGATGGGCGGGAGGTAGGATTTCCAGATGGAAATATACCCCCGCCCCCCAAAAAAGAACTACTTAGAAGTGTCTTAGACAGCATGGCCCTGGGCCCTAGGGTCTCAGGCAAGTTGAAAGGCAGAGATAAGACACCAGTTCTGGATAGAAATTTACAATTGAAATTGAGGATTCACACCTTGAAGTGTCTTATGTAAAATACATTAATCCATATGCCAAATCAATTTAGGCTCACCCCATTTAGTATTTGCCATTGAAAATGAATCATGAGTGGAAAGTTACAGTTTGTCTTTCCCCTGTTTTATACTATCATGTAATCTATCATTAAGCATCTCATAAATCACATAACAACTTTCAAGTCATTTGCAATTTAATTTACCAGAAATCAGTGTCCAGATCAGTGAGAAAAAGAAAACTACTGCTCAAAAGCACTGGAGACAAGAGGCAGAGAATCTTCAACAGAAATGTTCACTTTACTACCTGTCTTTTAAATGGACATCAGTTTCTGCATAATGAAAATTCATGGTAACACAAAACTTTATTACTTTTCATTTGCTGGGAGTTTAAGAGAAAAATGTTCCACACACACACACTCAGTTTCTCCCCAAAATAGCGTCATTCTTTTATTTGGTGATTTAATACATTTTTAATTCAAATAGCCACCACATAACCTAGGCACAATATTAAGCATTTTACAAGCAAAGTATTTTACTGATTTTCTTTTCAATTGCCAAAGAGTACAATAAGTGAATTGGTTAAAGGATACGCTTCTGTACATTAAAATATCCATGTATTTATACAAGTGTGTGGAACAGAGTTTGAAGATAATAAAACCAGAACATCGCAATAAATAGGATGTGTTCCTACAGGACAGCAGAGCACACTTTGTCAGGGAGCTGTCAAGTCTCTTTTCTCAAGGTGCTTCATGTTCTTCTGAGCTAGGCTCACATTTCCCACAATAAGGGTGAGGGGTTAGTAATGACTGGATCTGAATGCCTGTTCTCATTCGTCACTTTTTATTTGCATCTTCAATAATAGGACTGGAGGATATGATAACTTACTTATTTTCAAAAGCCTTTGCAACTCACCAAATTCTATTTATTTCCCACTTCAATATTTTAAAATGCAGATTAATCTAAGCTCTAGCACCATACAAGAATGAAATGTGTGTATTTTTGTCAGAGCAACAATATTTTATATCATCTTTGTTCCTCTGGTTATAACAATTCTGTGTAGAAAAATTTGCCAAGCTAAAAATAGTTGATCTAGGTTGTCATAAAAAAGAATATTAAATACCTTTGGTAAAAATAGATATATTTAACAAGATTAGAAAAGCAAACAGTTATAATGTCAAAAGGAGAATATAAAAATGTACACAATAAAACACATAAACCAACTTATAAAGCGAAGATAAGGCCACTCTTCTTTTCAGGTTTGTCTCTTCCAAACCCTGAATGTAGTTCTTGTCTTCTAAATGGTAGAAATTTTTATAAGAAATATGGAAAATCCAGTCTTTCCTATCAGCGTGACACAAGTTTGATTTATAGCAACATCGTTTCTTTTTTTTTAAACCAGGTTTGTAGACCATAGAACACTCTTGTTTATATATGTGAGTATAAGGAAAAAAATTCCAGATTTCTGTGATTTTAGGCCCAGAACATGGAGCTGGAGAGTTAATAAGCAAGGCAATAGAATCAGGTGCTCATTTGCACACATTTTTTTTTTTTTTCCTGTACTGACATTAACCTAAGTCATATCAAGACAACTGAAATATAGAACACAGCCAGCTGAGTAAGTGCATGGTAACTCTGTAACTAGCTAGTGATCTAAAACATTTAATATTTTTTCCACGCCCGGAGACCTTTTCTCCTGTCATCTGGGCGTCCTCTCAAGAGAGCTGTTGCACAACTCCTAATTCCGGTTGGTGTCTCCTCTTTAAGAACACACTGTAAATCCTGAAGGATGAAAGGTCCCTGAAGCAAACAACTGAGATTACGGATGGCGATAGCGCATCAATTCTCTGACAGAAGCAGCCGCTGAGCCGGACTGTTCTGGGGGAAGCCTGCGTGTGGGGATGCGTTATCCTCCCGCGTTCCCTCGGCACACACAGTCACACTCCTCATGGTGCTCCAGGGCCACGTCGGTGAGAGATTTATGCAATCCCCGGACACCGATCTTTGGTCTCAACTGAAGGACCTGAAGGAAACAATGGAAGCCACTGTTACAACCAACCCATGTCTATCATTTATGTTTTCATAGGAAGTATAATTTCAGGACACAAATGTGAGGCCCAACATTTTATTTTTTCCTAGTGAAGACATTACATTCCCCCACCTCTCAAAAAAATCATAAATGATAAATTTTTTTCATGAAAGAAAAGATTAGTTTAATACCAGAAACTTGGAAGGATGATGCCTCAGAATAAAGAATGGTGTTTAAATGGAAAGACTCACTATACACTCTTTATTTTACTCAATTAACAATACTAGAGAGAATTTCACCTTAAGTATTTTGGAACCACTACTGCACTGTTAATTTTTCTGTTTGTTAGTTTCTTGCACTCATTCATTTATTCACACATTTAACAAATATTTATACTTGAAGTAATACACGCAAGTACTGCTATACTGTGAAAAGAAACATGATCACTCTGCAGCTGAGTTAGCTCAATTACGCCACTCATTAATTTTCTTGGCTATACTTCAAGTCCTCTATAAACTTGATGAGATGGATTAGATGTACTTCATAGACATCAGCCTCCGTCACAGCTAACTTTCTGCAGCTGGATCCTACTGTGCAGTCTATGGAGATTTGGCAATGACAATAATGGCTCTATTTTATGAAGTTTCTTACAGTTTGGATTGCTGGGATTTTTAATAAAATATATAGCAAAATACACAATGATGCTAAAATTTCCTTTCGACAGTGTGACAAAAGGACATAGCTATGCATTCTATAAAAGACTATCTGATGTACTAGAAAAGAACTACCTATTTAATGCATATTATGTTTTATTTCTTATAATCAAAATGATAAATTGTTTGGATTATAAACAAACACTAGAGTACATAATAACATGAAGTTGTCTTGTTTGCTGGCTCTCTGGGTATGACACAGATAACTTCATAGAGCAACTTTTAAAAGTTCCCTAAAATTTTCATTAATCTAAAAAGGCACGAGTCAAGTCTTATGACTGTTTTCCTTGAAGATTTTTTTAAAAAGTAGAGAATGTATACCTCATTTGGAGAATGTGGGCATATCAAAGGTTAATTGGCTAACATTTTTTGAATGCTTATGAGTGCTAGCTGCTATAATAAGGTTTTTACATACTTTAACTCACAAGCATTCTATGGAGTAATTTACAACTACTCCCCCTATTTTACACGAGTGGATAGAAGCTTAGAGAGAAGTGACATTGTCAGTATTTTTACTTCAGCCCCATATGAATTATTAGAGTAATAGATACTAATTATATAAAGACTCAAAATACACATTTACTAGTCATACATTCTATTCCTTTAGTAACTTTCTTTGTAAAAAGATAAACTGAAAAGTCTTGCAATAACTATAACAAATAGTCAACTTTTAAATTAGATTCTCTATTACATTTCATAATGCCAGGATAAAAATTACTTAAAATGTATTATTTTAATGTGAAACTTAACCCAATGATTATCGAATATTCTTCTTTTTTTAATGTGTTAGTACGTATTTACTGTTTTGGCACAAGTTGAGATGTCATCCAAATTAACTGCTCCTAAGATACTGGTGCTATATCTTATAATCACACTGTTGTTACAAATTATTTCTGGGATGAGACTAGATAAACAAATAAATTGCAATACTGGCATAGCCAAAGGCTTTAAAGGCCTTTAATTTAAAAAGGAATCACTATGAAATGTAAAAGTTAGAGAGGCTATCAGACACAGCCCTGTCAGTGTTGCTGGGCTACAGTCCTACAACCCTTTCTTCCTCTAGCAGCGCTTAGGTCAAGATGCAGTCACCAAATAAAACCCCCTTCTCATCCTCCAGTCTCTGTCCACAGAGGTTGGTATAGATTTACAAAGAGCCGAAGAATCTCTTTTATGTTCTAGTGATGTCGAAGTCCTGAATAAGAAATTCTAAGACATGGTGGTGGGACCATAAGAATTGTTTTCCTTCTTAAACCTGTTTGAAACAGGTTAACTTCAGAGGAGAAAGTTAGATTTGGAACATAGACTTAGTTCTGGATAATATTAAAGATGATAATTTGATTTTCAGGATGTAGTTTATGACACCAGACAAGAAACCAGGAAAAAAACATGTCTCACAAAATTTTGAGGGAGAAGTTCAAACCAAAATTGCAAGTTCACAATAAAATAACCCAGGGAAAAGCTAAACCTCAAGAGTATGGAAAAGAATAGATTAGGTACAGAAAGAGCATCCAGGAATAGGTGTGTGTGTACCATCGCCCAAAGGGTACAAAGTGCCCTTACATTTTTGGATGCCATAGACAGGACTCATTACTAGAATAAGTCAATTAAATGGTATATATCCCTCCAAAAAGAAAAGATCTATGCAAACAAACAAAAAAAGTAGTAAGACTGTAGTTGATATTATGAAAAAATGAAATTAAGTACATGAAAAGAAAAACAAGGTAGAAATCATTAGGCCGATTAAGAATGAAAAAAGGAAAAAAATAGGGCTTATTATCAGAGTCCCTTATTGATCATTTTGCCAGAAAGGGAATACCTTTCCTACCTCTGGGCAAAATTCATTAAGTCTTTATAGATCATTTGCTATAACTGAAGAATAAGGCTAGGCATAGAGAAAAAAAATAAGATGAAGGAGAGAAAAGCTAGTATATATTAAGGGCTAGAGATGTGCTAGACCTTGTTCTGAGTGTTTTATAAATATCACTCCTTGAATCCTCACAATAAGGAATGAGGCTTGGAAGCTCACGTCACAGGTGAGGAAATGGAGGCCCAGGGGATTCAGGATTTGCTCCAAGTCTCATTGCTAACAAACATCATATTCAGACTCTGGAAGTCTGGTTCCGTGTCTGCACTCTTAAGCACTACACTGCAATGTGATCTTCGCTCTTCCTTACTTCTCAATTTGGTAGTAACAAAGAAAAATAATAATTATGAAGTAGTAAAAGTTCTCTAACAGAGAGATCTTTAAAATTCAACATATGCCTGAAGATGAATGGACTAGTTATACTGGGGTTGGAAGGAAACTAAAAAAATGTTTTAGGAAGAGGAAGTATCTAGGTTTGTACATATATAAAGTTCCTGTCTTGCTTTTCTGAAAAACGTTATTCAGGAAATAGCAAAACCGTTAAGGAAATACATATATTATGTATGCTAAAATGTCTTCTATTAAAAAGTATCTGGTGATTGATGCAAAAGCAGTTAAGAATCACTAATAATACTATTATACTTTAATGTTACATTAAAACATTATATCAATAATATTCTTATATTGTAGAGCCTTTTAATTTTCTAAACTTATTTTTGATACAGGATTAAACAAAGCCCAATGACAATGCTAGAGGAAACCAAAAGAGAATATTAATTCAGTTATATTTGTCGGAACATGACATACATTTTTAGCTTAATATTTAGGGAAGCTGGTACAGTAGAGATAGGTTAAGGAGAGAAAACTTAGGACTTTTAAGCTCTGTCTTTGTTTCTGTCTTCTCTTTGAGATGGAATGATCTTCAAGTGAAAATGGAAACAGTGCTCATCAAAAAGAATTAAAGCCCAAGATGAGCATCACTTTAAATAAATTAAATCTTTAGATCCAGATTAAAGGAATTTAATGATCTAATGCCTTTGGTAATATTTTAAGTTATGTTTAAAAATGATTTCATTTATTCAGGTGTAATATTAGACTAAGAACTTATTTCCAAAATATAAGACTGGGAAAAAGTCAGGCCTCCAAAATTATGAATTACACCAAATAAGAAACCTTTTTTTTTTTTTACAGGTTACTTTGATCATTAATGGAAAAATTAATGATAAAAAATGAAGACATGGTTATTATTGGAGATATTTGTAAGAAATGTGAAGTAGGTAACTGTGTAATATTTCTACATACCTACATTAGAGATGTCGGAAGCTTGCACTAGATGGCCATATAATTACATGTCTAAAGTATCTGTGTGCATCTATATAATGCACTGTGATCAGCCTCACCCAAAGATGAGAGAGTACTGGATTAATGTCATTCTGGAGGAAGGCCAGTGAGGCCACAAGCGGTGCCCACAACCTTTCCCCACACGAGTCTTACCTGAGACTTTAAACCAGATATTACAAATTCTGTAGCAACTTCCTGCATAACCTTAAAACTAAAGTTATTTAGAAAATTTTTTTTACAAGTATAGGATGGAGGAGGATTGGCTTCACCTGAGGACCGATTTATCTGATAAAAAGCATTATATGGAATAGCATGTGATAAGCTGGTTTAAGAAAGCCGATACAACTGCACTGGAGTTTATAGCTCTCAGAACGAAGGTTATAGACCCAAAACTTGTTGGCTAAATCTGGTCTCCAAATACACTTTGTTTAGTAAGGACCTGCTTTAGAAAGTTCAAAATTGAATGCTTTTATATGGGAAAGGATCACTCAAGTTTAATTCCTATTCTCACTACATACTTATGTTAGACCATTCAACTCTAATATCAGTCTAGCCTTTAAGGTATTTTAAGTTAATCTGTTTTCAAACTACTATATTAAGAGATTCTCCTTGACTAGCTATCTCAGTTCCTGGAGTAGCACTAAGGCTGGCCTCTGGGCATGGCCTGGCCAGAGCTTCTTCAGCCCCTACGCTCCTGTTACCTACTTAATGAAACTGGAGTGGAGGCTATTCCCAGCACAAGGCTCTTTAGAAGAATGTAGTTAGAAATAAACGCAGAACATGAGTAATGGCAGTAAGTCATCCTATTTCTCATCAGAGGCTTCTAGTTTTGAATGTTAGTTACTAAAAATTGCTATCCAGTAATTTTTGTGGAATAAAATGGCAAGGAAAAAATGAGAGAATTATCATATTTTACACTATTTTATTGAGGTTAAGTATCTTGCTGATGGTGGCAACAAGTTAATGGTAGATCTAGGATGGAAACAGGGTCCATTGTCTTCTGGAATCCAGTGCTCCATTTTCCATTTTATCAGCTGCCAACACAGTATTGTTGAAGGACGGGACAATCATGTCATATGCAGTACAGTTTATGATACTGTCCATATTTAGATCTCCTAACAGATAAGGGTTTCACAGATATCTTTATGCAATGACAAAAATAGTCATTTTATTCATTAATCAGATATTTATTTTTATTATTCTTTTATTTAGTAGAAAAAAATAAAAACTAAGGAAATGAAGCTCTGTTGAAATAAAGTCAGGAAAGCAGATTTTGGCTTGCTAATGTAAATGTTTTATAAAAATCCAAGCGACTCATCAGCAAGGGAATGCTTCCTGATGTAGGATGCTACACGGTGCTCTTGGAGAAAGGTAGGATAGAATTTGGGATAATTTAGCACTCATGAAAATTTAGAGTATGTAAGTTCTAAGGTTCCCAAGGCTCTGAAAAGTGACTAAGATTAAGTATTCAATTATTCTTGATTTTGTAAAGAGATAAAGGGGAAAAAAAAATCCGTGAAAGGTTTAATACATTATTTGGGGTAACATGACTTATAGAAAGACTGGTATAATTATGAATATGTCTTCTTGGGATTTATGGACCCACATCGCCCCAAATGGAAAAATAAATATCAAAGATCTGCTTTCTCCAAAATAGACAATAATTTATCTTCAAGTTTCTCTTTAAAATATTCCATTCATATTTTTAAAAGTTGAAAAGTTTCACCCATATTTCACCCTATAAAAAGATACATTTTGGTTTTTGTATGAGAGAGAAGAACGTCAATGACCCTCCATCATGTACTATCACAGGATAAGCTTTCAAAACCATTAATATCTGGGTTTTTGAGTTAAAAGTCGTATTTTTAAAAAAATATGAACAAAGTATTTTGTAAACCTTTCTTTTATGACTGCTACATCATCTCAAAGATCCATTTCATATACACTGTTTTGTTATTTTTTAAAGCAACAAATCACCCCAAGGAACCCAAAAAGAATGTGATAGACCTACCTCATGATATTTCTTAGTGACTTTGCTTGGGACACACTGACACTCATTGCAATTGTGGAGACAACAGGCACAGTTTCCACCACAGCGTTTCACCAGGAGACAACCTGGCCAGAAAATAGTATCGGTTCTCTTTAGTTCTTCCCTTATGGACACCGAGAAGTTACGAGGTGTGCAGCTGTACAATCTTACCTCCTCTTTCAGAAGGTTCAGATCCACCACTACATGGCATAGAAGAGAGGAAAAAACAGATGTTTATGCTTGGAGGCTGAATGTATTCTATTAAGCTCTTTTCATAAAGAAATCTAACTATTTCATGAAAAATAATCCTAACAATCTCTCTCCTTATTTTAACTAAGTTTTGAAGCTATGCAGCTTGCAAGCTGGACCTTCTATTTTATAGTAAACAAAGCTTCATTATGACTTAGTGACCAATAAAGAGATGTCATTGTGCAACATTAAGAACAGAGCCAACAAAACAGTTGAAAGCTATAAATAGGAAACTACAGAGGAAAAAGAGGGCTACACCTTTTAACCTTAGTAAAAAAAAAAAAAAGTAAACAAGGAGGCTATTGGAGGGAAGAACAGAATGCAAAATGATGAGTATTTTCATTAACAAATAAATGCAATTTTTAAAGGCATTAGGAGCTCATGCAATTAAGAACAACTTACAGAAACTTGTCAACAGGAATTCTTAAATCTTTCTGACAAAAAGAATTATAAAATGTAAAAAGGAAATGGAGAAAATGAAATTTTGAAGACAGCTGAGTGGACCATGAAATGAAAAAAAAAATGATAACATTTTAAAAGAGCAGAGGTTGTTGGAAAGTACTGTTTCTGGTGCAGTAAGAATTTCTGGTCTTTGAAATTTAACTCAGATTTCTATTCTTCTTAGTAAAGACAGAAGAAATGTCTAATGTATAACCATTGTCTCTATTCTTTTAACAAGTTGGCTAACTATGTTGTGCTTTATTCTTTAAAAGAATACCTATTTGTCAAGACCAAACAAAATATCCTTTCATCAGATTAACGCAGTAAATTCTCAAAGAACCATTGTTTTTAACTACAAAATGATACTGCTTTAGTTAAATTATATCAAAATAACATGTAATGTTTAATATGAATTAATATATAATATGTAAATAGTAGTTTGTTATTAGGATAAGCATCTCTAATATAATTTTAATTTCTGCTTTATAGCTTTGCCCTTTTCCCCCTGGAAATAGCCAAATAAAAACAATTCCAACAAAATTGAAGAGTTTTGGATAATAATAATTCATCAGAGCTTTTTTTCCATCAGAAAATCTAGGTTTTATTAAAATTTAGGAAATCATTTATAATATAATAAATCTATTTAAATACCTTTCGCTAATAACACAAATTATAACATAAATTGAAATAAAATAAAAGTTATTTTCTGGTTACAGATTGCCTCAAATAATAATCATAACTTTGTAACTCAGTTTTAAAAATTGTGCCACTATTTTAAAACAATTCTACAATCACTAGGTAATTACAAATCAAATGCTTATTTTTCTTGGCTATGTTATATTGTGTATGTGATCAAGTTTTTCTAAAATATCAAAGGAAGCTGATGTATTTTCAAAAAAATGTACTCTAAATTATGCATATGCAATCATAAATTATAGGGCATATAAACTATACGGTTGACTAAAACCTTGGTCAAGTTTAGGAAAACACCAAGAAATGCTCATTCAATAGGTTCATTTCAACACCTTATTTAGTTAAAAATTATTTTTTCCGACTCAATAGAAAAATCACTATTTCATTTGAGTATTTAAAGGTTTCCTTTTAATCTGAAAAATGATACTATGAAAGTAAAGCTTTTGAATATTTAAGGAAAATGAGTTCATTCTTTTGAGTGTTATAAAAGACCAATTTATCTTTAATAAAATTAATGAGATAAATAGGTTAAATGTCACATATTTTACCCAATTCATTTTGCTGAACTAACGGAACATGAGCATATTGCTCTTTTATTATTTAAGCTATACATGAGCTCATTTGAATCTCTTCCGTAGAAGTCCCTGTCTGGGTAAGAAGGAAGAAAACCTAAGACATGCACACACACACACAAGTCAGTTGCCAAAACTGGCAATGCTCATTTAAGATTTATGCTGCTTTAGAATGTGAATGAAGCTCTTAGCTTAGAAAGGATATTCGTCTACCTCAAATAGTTTTAAACACACTATTTCATGAAACTAGAAAATGAGACTGTATATGTTCGCTTTAAAATGTTTACTTAACCACAATAAAAGGTTAGATAGATTTCCCAAGTGAACTAAGTTATGATACCTGCTACAATGTGAAAATTTAAACACACTTTCAACTTAGCTTCCACTCATTTATCATGTTTGACACAAAAGTCAAAAGCCCTTTTCAAGTACTAGTTAAGCCTGACTTAGAAAATATGGTTGGTTTTGTTGTGTTTTTTTTCTGTAGTAGCATGGTATGAATGAAAAGCCTGAACCAGAAGAAGAAAGGGAAAAATAATCAAACATAAAAACATTAGTCTTGTCCACTCTGGGCTGAAAATACATTAAGGATTTTAAATTTGGTAATCTTAAGTGAAAGCTATGCTTCCTACTTCTAAGGCTTCAAATCCATCTAAGCTTCATTAAAATAAGTCCTGTGGTTATAAATTAGGATCACACATTCTCTAAACACTGTGTAGAATTTCTAAGCAAAAAGAAAAAAAAAGGAACAGGGAAAGAAAGATCATGCCCCAACATGTACATTTTTTAAACTTAACTGTTATATTATGGAAGTTTCCCTCTGAAAAATATTTGTAAAGTAAAACTCAGCAAATTCCTATTTTCTTATAAAACTACCTCTTAATTTGTCTTTCAGAAGGATGATTTTGAGCATGACACCAATGAAAGTTTTTCTAATGCAAATCTTCTTGTTTAGATTCATCAATAGTGTAAGTTCTATGAAAAACAAAAGTAGTACTGACTGGAAAAAAAAATGCTCACATTTAACTTTGTTAGTTGTTCATTCTTTTGAGATATTCAGCCCAAGAATATTCTATTACTGTAATGCAATCTGAGGGTGGTCTCTCTAAGATGAATGTGGTAACACTGTGATATGTTTATTCTGTGGAAAATCTATTTCGATGTCTAATTAGAAGCTTTTAAACGTTTTACTCCTCATTCCTTTGTAGAAAGACTCTTGGGAGGGAAGTTGGTTTTGTCTATATAGATGTTATCCCACACCTGCGTTTTAGTTTATGTAAAGTTCCAAAAATATACACTGCTTTTCTCACACTTACTGTATGCTTAAAAAGTTAATAGTTTTGGCAAACTGCAAAGTGCTTCAATTTGGAAAGTGCTAAATGAATATTTGAAAGATGTTTCGGTGCTGGATGTTTTTAAATATCTGCTAGCCGCTGGCCAGATCTTCATCGATCGCCACATGGAGAGGTACAGGATATAAAGGCAGAGGATTTTTAGGTTCAAATCCTGAGATCAGCTGTCAAAAAACTAGACTTGAGCTTAGAACCTGGTTTACTCCCTCTGCTTTTTACAGATCAACATGATAACCTACTTCAAATTTGCTAACAAAGGCTCTATTCATGGGTGTTTCAGCTAGACTTGTAGATCTTCATTTTCCTGTTCCGAAGTGGGAGGGAAGGGAAGTATTGTTCGTCAGTTATTCATCAAGATCAAATCTTATAAATATGTAACAGCTTTCAGCATCTGGACAAGATTCGGCTGCCCATGGACTTGAACACCGCTTTCAAATATCGCTGAAAGGAAACCTCGTCTGTTGGCATAGCAAAATACCATGGTTGGGCAAGTCTGCACATGACCTGCTGAGATTAAAGCTCTTCATCCTGAAGGGCTGCAACTCTCAGCAGGAAAGGGCAGGAATCAGGTTTCTTCCTGACAAGACTTAGAAGAACAAGTCTGGTGCAATCTGCCCCTGTGAATCGCTCAAATTAACTAAATATTGCTCCTTCTCCGTCATTCCATTCTCTAAAGTGACACTGGGTAGATTTCAATGTTCCTGACAGACTGCAACAGATTTTTTTGGAGTGCATTATAATTATTCAGTTATTTCTACTACATTTTCATTTGTGTCTGATATGGATGCTTTCCAATTCTTATATCATTGGGAAATTAGCTAACCTTACAGCAGACCCAGTTAACATTATCTTCAATTTCTTCACCATGTGGAATTAAGTTTATGATCAACACTTTCACTCTTGAAGGCAGATATGCTCTTATGGTAAAGAGGGATAATTTCAGAAGTAAGTTTATATGGAGAAAAAGTATATGGTGGAGGTATATATCCTTCTTCTATGCATTCTATCTTGGAAACTACTAGTTTTATTTTATGGTGAGCCAGTGTAATTTCTCATGTTATTTAGAAAAGTTTCTAGGATTGGAAATAAAAATTGATATAATCCTGACGCTAAGAGACATGGTAAATAGTAAACTTGATAGAACTTCCCATTTTCTAGTCTCAAACCTGATTTCATAGTAGCTATGATGATCTCTCTTGAATCTCTGTATCAATATACCCCAAAATATTAGGTTTGACGAATGAATACTAGGTTTAAACAATGATGAAGTCTTATGAAATATAATAGAGGGCTTCATAAAAAAGATATTTTTAAATTTAAAAAAATGTATTTTAAAAGTATCTCTTTTAACCTTCCAAACCCACTGAGTTATAATTGACTTCTTTTGTATGTCTTCTTACTTAATATGTAAATATGCTAAAATGTTATTAAAGTGGATTATTTCAATATATTACTGCAGAATTTTAAACTCTTCTCATTAGAAGCTATGGCAGAATCATCTGAAACATTAGCTGCTAAGAAAATTAAATAAGATTCTAATCTGAAGAGAGAGCTTACCTCTGGATTTTCTTCCAAAAACAAAAGCCTTGCCAAGAAGTTGCCAACCTGGCCTATATAGATCTTCTAAGTCCAACTGCCATCTATCTGGTTCAAGATACCGAATAAGATCTTCCAAGGTACTAAAGGCAGTGACAGCGTTATTAAGCTGGTCCAGTGGCAAAGCTGAAGGGGGTAACACTGAAGGACTCACAGCTTCTGTGAATTGCTGAAAGTAAAAGGAATACTATGTTAACTGTTTTACAAATGACTGTATTCCTTCTGGACTTATGCAAGAAGTTAGATAGACTAAGGTTGTAAATACATGGGATGTCAAATTGGGTTCAACTCCAGTTAAAATAAATTATTTTGCAAGTCTTCATGTAGATGAACTCTTGATAGGTTTTCTGTGTAGTCAATGAGAAAGACATTAACATCATTACCACAAGCTATGGTGGATGTGTTGCTTAAATAAAAACAAAATGAAAACAAAATATGTCACTTAAATTAAAAAAAAAAATCTCTGTGGTTCAATTACAGACTTACAATGGAAACTGAAATACAGTTTACTAAAGTCTTGTTTGTTTTTCACTTTCTAATTTTCTTAATCTGGAAACACTATGTAGTTATGCAAATGAGTATCAAATGAATTAAAAATTTCACACAAAAAAGCATGGCCACAAAATGTAGGTGAAATGCCTTTGACAATGGAAAAGGTGTTAATCAAGATAGAAAACACCCAACTATAAACAATAACTTTGATAAATTCGCCTATTTTTTTTTAATAAACGGGTTTTAAAAGACAGATACTGAAAGAACACTCTGGCAAACTATATAACTATTACAGGGTTGGTGTCCAGGGTTTACAGAAAAAAGACAAACAACTAAACAGAAAAAGGGCAAATTCCAGACCGAAAGCCTGAATGGCCAACAGACATAAAAACTTGCTAAAACTTGTTAGTTGTTAGAAAAATGCAAAACAAAATGAGATACTATTTCAAGTTTTAAATAAGAAAGGATTCCAAGGATGTGAGTAAGTTGGAATTTCTCTGCTCTTCACGCAAAAGTGAGTATAAATTGCTTTGGTAATAAATTATGTAAGATACTGGAGTTGAAGATGTATATATTCCAAATCCCTGTAGTTTACTTTTAAGGTTTACATTTTCATTTATTGCACATGAAAACATATGCAATGATATTAATCACAGTATTGTTTGAAATTAAAAAAAAATTGAATACAACCTAAATGCCCGTATGTAGAACAGTGCATCAAGATATATCATTTTAAATAGTAAGTAACAAAATGGGACAATAATTTCAATAAATCTTCAAGAAGGAACTCCCTCCCCCCATTTTTCAACATGTACTAAGTGGTAGATCAGAACAGAAATCAAAATAGGCAAAATAAATAAATTAACAAATGTTCAACTTAGTTTTTTTATTATTTTTTAATATAATTTTTGCAGAGAAGAGGAGAGCAAGAGTATGAAAAAACACATTTATGTCAATTGATTGTCACTGTAGTAGTATTTATAATAACAAAAAGTTGGAAAAAATCAAAATTTACAATAGATGGAATAGTTCATTACACTTCTCATGAACTGAAATAGTGTACAGCCATAAAAAATGAGGTCCCCTGGACATTTTTATTAACAAAAGAAATGCTTATTATGTAGTAAATGACAAAAATAACAAGCTACATAAAAATAGTGTTAACATACTATAATTTCAACATACATGAATTGAAACAAAGCAAAAAATCAACAGTGCCTAAAATGCCAAATGTTCATCTATGATTTAAATGAGAATGGGTGATTTTAATTTTCTTTCATATACATAACCATATTTTCAACATTTTACTATAATAAACATGGTCTCCTTTTGGAGATCAGTTAAAAATAATAACATTTGTTATAGTTAAAAAAAAACTATCAAATCAACTTTTTCTTTTCATCCTCATTGGAACCCGGGCTAGATGCAGAAAACCATGTACTATATACAGCATCCTCAAACTTTGTTTCCTTGCCTTTAATCTTCTCTTATTCCTTTTATTCTATTCAGCATAACCCTTGGTTAATTTATCTAAAACAAGTTATCACTGATCATGTGATGAATCTGGATAAATGCCTAAAGTGATCTCTCATCTGGAGGATGAAATTCAAATTCCTTACACTGTACTCAGGATCCTTACAATCTGATCTTTGCTGAACTTTCTCCTCTAATCCTCTACTCATCAAAGACAGGCACATTTTGTTCCAATCAATCTCGACTCTTCACTAACTATGGCACATGTCATATTCCCCTCCGACCTTGTACTTCTACCCCTGCTCATCGCTGCTCCCCTTCTCCCCTATGCAAAACTCTCCCTCTTGTGATGCACATAATAAATCTGTACCATTTTTAATGGCTTTTCTTGAAACCCAATTCATCCATGAAAACTTCCTCAACAACAGGGCCATCATTGTCCCGTATATCTCAAATGTGTCAACTTGAAAAACATGCCCTCTTTGGGCTGTCCTGTGGGCGCATGGCTCGAAAAGCAGAAGCTGCTCCGTAAATTAGAAAAAGGGCAGTCGCTATCTGCAGGCACAGCCCCTCTGAGGCTCACAGCTCTGCGGGTGTAACGACCCATTTGTACTCAGAGGGTGGAAGGGTGCACTTTTATAAAGAATAATTGGCAGAAATGAATGTGGCAGCCTCAGGTCAAGAATGATTTTATCCTTATTTTAAAGATCTAATTTCCATAATGTTGAGATTGTGGCTAAAATATTAGTACAAGATGCTTCCAATTATTATCTAAGTTTTGAGAGCAGAAACTAAATAAAATGCATTCCTATTTACTACCATTATTTTTTAAATTGTTCAAGAAATGCAAAATTACTTTTATACAGAGGACAATTATGATTGGTAACTATATTACAGACATAAATGAACAATTATCTAATAAGAATTCCCATTGCTAATTTAACCAAATTAGTTAATACTGATTGAATTTATAACATGAAAACATGAATGCAAAATATTTGCAACTTAAAAAAAATAAGCCAAAATGTGTATGTTTATATAAAGTGTAAATTAAAAGTCAGTAGTACTCAAGGACTACCTAAGTATTACGCATGACTATGACAATGTAAAACAAATTGAATGTATCATAATCTGCACAGAGAATAAATATATATAGAAAGCTAATACAGAAAGTATATGTTCTTCATTAAAGTGTCAGAGTGTACAGGTAGACGTAATGTAAAATTGTTACTTAAGCTATTTTCAAGCTTCTTTTGCGTTTCATGTGTTTAGACTCTGTGTACAGCATTCTTTTTGAAGCAATAAAATGTTCCCGCTGAAATCAATATTGCTGAGATACAGGTTAAAGTATTCATATAAAAGAAACTAAAGCAATATATATAGGCCAGCAACATTGGACAAACAAAATATGCACACCTTGGGTTCAATGAAGTATCAGAATTTCAATCCCCGCACATGACAAACTCTGGGCGAAAACAACTTGGCACGTGTTTCAGCATGCATATATTAGTTGATATTATAAACCTGCAAGCTTTCACATACTTAAATTAAAATAAGATAAATTAAAAAAATATACACACACACACAGCAGTTTGCATCCACCCAAAAAACAAGAGGAAAAACCAACTCACTTCCCCTAGATTCAAAGAATCGATCCTGGACAGCGCAGAGGAAGCGGCGCTTTTATTTCAGGGCTTTCTCGTGACTGTCACTCCACCCGTCATTTCAAGGAACAACCAAGCCCTTCGCTTTCCAAGTTCTGCTTTTCAAAGTTGTTTAAGGGGATTTTCAAAGAAGAAGAAGAGCAGTGGGAAAAAAAAAAGGTTAGAGGACAAAAAGTCCTCCTTTTTTTTTAAGTTTTCATCTTTCCTCTATGCAAAAACTCTTTTCAGTACAGGCTCAAAGCTTTTTCCCCTTATTTAAGTGTCTAGAAAATTCTAACAATACTTATGATTGGGCTAAATGCCTGACATTGAATTGGATTTTCACATTCCCCCATTCCCTGTCTATTTTATTCACCCTGAAAATAGGTACTTATTACTAAGTCATGATTTGCTCTAAGACTATTTAGTGGGTGATGGTGGTCAGTAAAAAAAGCAGTTTCTTTGTGTTCTATCATGCAAACAACTAAATCAACACCCCCTACTTTAGTAAGCCAGAAACAAAGCTTTTCTGCTATTACCTTCAGGGTAGCAGAACGGGGGCGGGGGGGGGGGATCACCCAGTTCTCAGCTAGATAGGCCTCTCAGGTGCACTACTTTGGAAGGATAGATCAGGAAAGAGCAGAAAAGGAATCTGAAATCTCAGCACAACGAAGTGCCCTCTCAAACCATGCAATTCTAAACTGTCAGTATCATGTGTTAAGGGTCTTATACAAAATGAGGTCTTATAAACTCCTTGGTGAAATTCATTATGAATGACAGCACCGTGTGAGAGAAGAACCCAGATCAGGAGTCACGGAGCCTGCACTGTAATCCCGGAGCTGCTCACATTCAGGGAAGAAAATTTGGGCCAATACTGTAACCCCTCTAAGCCTCCCTTTCCTCCTCTGTCAATCTTGGCTGCTAAACACAGTGGCTAAGTTTCTTTTTAGTTTTTAAATTTCAGAATTCTAGGTCATCTTATGTAATCACCAGAGGGTCCATTTCCCCCACATCTCCGCCACCACTCTGTCCCTGTTCTCAGTGACAGCATTCTGACAAGGGTGAGCGGATATCTCACTGTGGTTCTGATTTGCATTTCCCTGATGATTAGTGATGTTGAGCATCTGTTCATGCACGTTCACATATTATTGACCATTTGCGTGTCTCCTTTGGAAAAACTTCTATTCAGTTTAGTTATTGAGATGTATAAATTCTTTATATATTTGGGCTACTAACTCCTTATCTAATATATAACTTGCACATATTTTGTTACATTCCCCAAGTTGCCTTCTCATGTTGTTGATTGCTTCTTTTGATGTACAAAAGCTTTGTAGTTTGATGTAGGCCTACTTGTTTGATTTTTGGTTTTATTGCTGTGCTTTGGTGTCATTTCCAAAAAATGTTCATGCACTGCTGGTGGAAATGTAAATTTATTCAGCCACTATAGAAAGTGGTATGAAAGTTCTGCAAAAATTTAAAATTAGAACTACCATATGATCCAGCAATTCCACTTCTGGATATATACCCAAAGGAAATGAAAACAGGATATTGAAAAGATATC